ATCATTTTTACGGCAGTAGATTACAGAAGTGATAAATTACTGGAAAGATACACGTCTGAGATAAACAACATGAGGCTTGCTTCCCCCAGATGGTCTGTACTTCCTGAGCAGGCAGTATTTTGTTCCAGTGAGTGACAAAGTTTGGATTAAGTCCTTCTGTGTGTGTGTGTCTGTGTGTGTGTGTGTGTGAGGTGCTTTCTGTTGTGAGATATTACCTGGTGTTGGAGATCCAGCCAAACAAAAGGGCTCAGTGCTTTGTGAAAAACCTCTGGAACATCTGACCATGGCAGAGGCTGCAGCGAGAGACTTTGGTGGCAATACTAATTTCCAAAAACATGAGCAGAGAGCCCAGGGGCCTCCAGTGGCAAGGGTGATGTGTGAGGCAGCTGGAGAGGGGAGAAGGGGGTTTCTCTGTTCCCCCAAAGTCCTTTCATGGGTGGTGTAGGACAGGGTGCTGTACTGAGTAGGGGGGGAGAGGGGGGTGTCCTCCATGGGCTGCAGGTCGGTCTCTGCTCCACCATGGACCTCATGGGCTGCAGGGGCACAGCTGCCTCACCACAGCTGTACTGTGAGCTGCCAGGGAATCTGCTCTGGTGTGTGGAACACCTCCTGCCCCTCCTCCTGCACTGACCTTGGTGTCTGCTGGGTTGTTTCTCACACATATTCTCACTCCTCTCTCTGACTGAAATTGATGCTGTGCAGGATTTTTTCTCATTCTTACATCTGTTATCCCAATAGTGCTACCACCTTCATGGATGGGTTCAGCCTTGACCCGTGGCAGGTGTCTCTTGGAAACATGGGTGCTGTTGAGCAGAACATTGGGAAGATTCTAGTAACTTCTCACTGAAGGCACCCTTGTAGCTTTCCCTGCTGCCAAAACAGCTAATGCACTTAGAGACAATCATACTGCCAGTAGAGAAAATTTTCATATCTCTATGTATAAGAATTCCAGTTCTAAATAAACACATTTTATGCAGGGAATAATCTGTTTTATATAAACAGTTTTCATGTCAACAGATTATAGGTACTTCAGTTTGTGTGAAAGTCACTTCTCAAACTGAAATCAGCTACCTTTAGAAGCCTGTACAAGAAAGAAATGAAGACTGAATAATGTATTTGAAAACCTAGGGGAAGTTCGATTTCCCAGAGATCTTTCCAGAACACTTTATGTTACTATATTACTACAGCTGCAGAAAATGATACAGGAGTTCTGTTGCTCAGGGTGCCAGCCCTGCATGCAGCATCGTGGTGACTCGTGGGCTCTGACTCAGCACTGCAGTGATGTGATGAAGAGCCCATCTCCACCCTCATGCAATAGCCTGAGTGTTCCTGTGATACACATCTGTTATTTGGAGAGCCACATTAGCAAATATTTTCTGAAAATAATCCGGTTTCTTCCTCCACTTGCATTCTGCTTAGGTTCTTCTCTCAGGTTGACCAGCCTGATTTACAACTGTTTTGTGCTCTAAATATTGTATCAGTTATTTTTCACCTGTGATGGTCCTCCCCTTCCTCCAGGAATGAGAACACATTTGTGGTTTGTAGTGGGGCTTTTTTTGTGGAAGCAAAAGTTTTGTGCCCTGAAAGGTGAAGATGAGGATAGGGAGGAATGGCTGGATCTAAGGTGACCCTGGCTCTCAGTGGCTGCTGCGTGCCTGGCCATGAACAGTGTTCACCACAGCCTGCAGCCAAGAGTTTCTGTCAGTAATAGGATGTTACCATGTAAAAATTTACTCTATTCAGTGCTCTCCCAGTAGCTGAAAACCCTACAGTATATCAGTGTTTTAGCCAAAGAGGTGTACTGCTCTTTTACCTGCCTGTAGTTACAATGAGCAGTGTATTATGTGTAAACTGTGAGTTCCCAGTTTGTCCCAACAGCCATAAGGCATTCCAGCCTGTAAGAATCTGGGCACAGCTCCAAGGGGGAGAATTAGCCTGACCTGTGTGGTGTGGCTGCACTTCAGCCTTGCAAGGTGCAAAATACAGCGTCTGGGGAAAAAAAACAGTAATCTCCAACTATGTGTTTTTGGGATCAGGGAACACATCCCCTATGCCTGCCCTCTATTCTCACTAAAACAGATGAATTTTAGAGTAGGTGATGACCCACAGAAAGTGGGAAGTTTGACTGCTACAGTTCCTGGGAGATTAGCAGAAGAGGCTGGATGTGGGCTGTGAAGGCATAATGACTGTTTTTAAACTTGTTAGCCATTTAGAGTTCCAACCTTATTAAATCCACGCACTACAACTCAGTGGCCTTTGAATGAATGGATTAATTCTGTGTTATTTTATCACTTCCCTCCTGCAGCCTGCAGCTGTGCAGTCTAAAGTTATCTTGTTTTTCTCATTTAGAAGTGTTGTAAAGGAAACTCCCTGGAGATGATGCAGCGTGCTGAACACGAAAACCTCCATTGCGCTCGATTGCTGCAAGCAGTCATCATAACAGCTCCTCAAAGCTGTAGCCAGGGTCACACTTCCCAGGGGATGTATTAACTGTAGGGGTCCCCTTCTTACTCCTTCATCCAGGGATCTCTTTGAAACACCTAGAAAGGTGAAGAGCATCAAAGTAGAAGTATTGATTTATGAGACTTGGGCTCATTTCTCGTCTGAGATGACTGTGAATTGCACCTTCTCGCAACAGTGTCAAAGCAGCTGCAGGTCCAGAAAATGGTGGGAAGAACCAGAATTTGTGCTCTTCATTGCTTTCATAGAGAAAATTCTGGATGTTGGGTTCTTTGTACACAGAAATCTCTCATGTTGAGCACAGAATACCTCAGGCCACTTCAGCTCAGTGGGCACTAGAAGGGCTGTGGTAATGTGTGCTGTATTCTAACAAAAATTTCCTGTCTACTTTGACAAAGCATCTGGAAAGCCTTGCTGGCTTTCTTTTTTTCCAACTGGAAATGAAAGTTTGATCTGATTTTCAGGTCGAGAGTTATTCAGACATCCTTGACAGAAACAGAGGCTCTTCCCTGGAAGATGGCCATTGGGTGATGGTAAAGAGGGTTGAGAGTATATTGAAATATACTTTGTGGTGTTGGCAGGATGATAATCAGTTAGAGAGAAGCTCCTCTGAAGCCACTTTAGGGTTTCAGAAGTTGAGCAGTAAACACAGCAGAAGCAGTACTGCCCTTTCTACCTGGTCACTGTCTACTGCATTTTCTGACCCACCAAGGTGCCAGTTACATATTTTTCTTTATCCATAAGTTTTATTTTAGTTCAAACCTCTCCTCTGATAAATTTGGGATAGCAACTCTCCCACTCAGCTTTTTCCTTCCTGTAGAACTTTAATATGAATGATTTCATAGTTGGAGATTTTAGACCTCTGTGCAAGCTCCCTTGTGAAATGAGCACTCTGCCCACAGCCTTGGAAGCAGGGCAGCCCACACAAGCAGGGCACTTACTCTGGTTTGTTTAGAGGACTCCAGAGGACACTGGAGGCAGGAGAAATCTCAGAGATCCAGAAAGTTTGTCTTGGCTCCTGGTCTAAGGGACCTTGGGGTTGTGTTATCTCCTCCCAGGAGGATCTCTGTGGACACACACACTGCACAGTCACATGGCGGCTGATGTCTCTGCAGCCTCAGTGCTGTGAAATTGGAACACTGTTGGAGCTGCCATGAGGGCAAAGATGAGCCACCTTTCCTGCAAACCAGCCCAGCCTCTGTCCCTTTCTGCCCAGCTGCTGGGCACACTGTATATTTTTAGGCTGGGTGCCTCATATTGCCTTGTAGGATTCATTCTTCCACCCTATGGCTGATACCACTTTGCTTCTACGAGTCAACCTGTCATCCTCCTGCCTCTTGACAGCTACAGGTCCTTCCTGCAGAACCAGTAGAGAAGAGGTGTCCCAGGAAGGCACCCTCACTATTGTTTTCCAGGGGTAAACCACAGCCTCAATCCAAACATGCTGTAACATTGCTTAGACTACTCCCTCCCTTTGTAGGCAACGAGTAAACTGCTCACTGAAATTATTCTCTATTAACAAGTTTGAATAATTGCATCTTATGCTGCTTTGGGTTTGTTACCTGATAGCCTGAATCCACATGTAGGTAAATGTAGAAAATAAATTACTCACCAGTGCTCATGGGCTGTAACTCCAGGTCTAACTGTGTGTGGGCTGACAATGCCAGTGTCACAGGGAGCTTGTTTATGGGGAGCTGGATGACAGATCTGCAGGAGGGAATGAGATAAAATGTCTCCTATACCTGTTAATTGAATCAGGCTGGGGTTCTTGCAGGGAGGGTGCATTTAGACAACATCAGGGCTTGCTTTGCATCTGAACAGCCCTGGAGCTGTGCCTGTGAAATCCCGAAGGCAAGCGATGAATCAGCTCCATCCACCCCTTGCAGCTGCTCCCGTGTCAGTGTGTGTTCAGCAGAGGTGCTCTCAGCCTGGGCTCTGCCCAGCGCTGCAGAGGATCAGGGCAGGGCGGGCTGGGGGCAGTCATGCCTCTCCTGGGACCCAGGAAAGCTGCAGCAGAGCTGCTTCTCCAAGGTCATGCACTCCTGCGACACAGCTGTCAGCCCCATTTAGGGTTATGCTGGGAGATTGGTTCTATGATAGTGTATGAGCTCCTGTAGAAATCCTTCCCTGTCAGGGCAGAGAGAGCATCCATCTCTGCCAAAATTAGCCCAAAGAGAAGGGCCCTTAGTGCAGTAGAACGATCAAGTCCTTTGTTTTCAGGAATATTACAGCCAATAGGATATGGCTGTCATCCTATAATTTACTTCTGGAAAATGATCTGCATCATTAAATGGAGTCTGTAGAGAGGACACAGGTTTTCTGATCTTAAATTTGAGTACATTTAAGCATGTAATTTATAAACAGTTGTTAAATAAAAATTTTTGTGTAAACCTTAATGCAGCAGTCATTAAAACCAATATTAGGTTAATGCACAAAAATCTATTAGTATAGCAATAGCTTTCTGGTTTTATTTTGGCATTCTTTCTTACAATTACTTTTGGTTTATTCTTAACCTGGAACACTAACTTTGTTATTTACAGATGTAAACAACGTTATATAGGACTTGGAGGGACCGTCTGGATAGTCTTCAGTACAACCTTAAGACAATCTACTTCACCTGTGAGAAATATTTGTGTAACCTCTTCTTAAAACCTTACACAAAGATTCCCTCAACCATTCAAAAAGAAAGCTGTGTGTTAGGCCCTGAACTGTACTTATTCCAACTGAGACCTTGCCAGTGCTGAAGAAAAGAGAATAACAACCTGCCTTATTAATGCAGGCCATGAAATCTGCCTCTTGCTCATCAGCAGTGCTTTGCAAACTTCAGTTCAAGATGGTTCTTAATGCTTTTCTATGTATTGCTGCTTGACTAGTCTGATGCTGTACTGCACATTTGATTTTGTCTTCCTTGGTGTAGGGATTTGCATGTGATAAAACACTTTGAATCATGTCAGACAGAAAAGATATATATCAGAAGCAAATATGGCTTTGAAAGTCAGTGTAGTTTCTAATGTACAATCAGTTACTCAGTGATAGCTGCTCCAGTAACAGCAGAGGTTTCATTTCTGTTTGGTAGGTGGCATGCGTTTTGTTTCTAACAAACACAAATAACTGCAGTAGATTCATTTTCAGTGAGCCAGGAAGAAACTGTGACTTGTTGTTCCCAGCATACACCTGAAGGTGGATATATTCATATCCCAGACCATAGCAAATTTTGTGCATTTATTGGTACAGTAATTTGGGGGTTTGTGGCATACAGGAAAAGCCCATGAGACAGGTTTTATGTTGATTAGTGCTATCTTCTAATTGGTTACAATTAGCTAAAGTGGTTTTCATTACTAGTTCTGACATAAGCTTCTATGAATACTAAAACATTAGCCCAATGATATGTTCAGCTTTGTGACACAAATCAGGGGAGAGAAATTGCAGTGAACATGGAGTAATATTTTACATGTGGTTGAAAGATATTTTCAACACTTGAAGAAACTACATGAGATACCTTCAGACTTGCTTGAATTTATTGATATGTGATCTCGATGCATGGAGCTTTTGTTCTGGTTTTGGGTATAAAAACACCCTGGTAATGTGCAGATGTGGGTGTTAACTTCAGCCTCAGCTGCAGTGATAGCAAATAGGAATAGGATGGGCCACAATAATTTATCAACAGTCTTGTTTTCAGTCTGCTGTTGCAGGCTGAAGGACCCCTTTGTTCAGCAGCATAATAACCAGCGGGCAGATGACTTTGACTCTCTCACTCTCAGGGGCTCATGAATAAGACCTAATGAAAATAGCTGGGAGACAAGAGCGAGAGCTGCCTCCTGCTGCCAGCAAAGCCTGGCCTCTAACATCCCACACATCTGTAACAGGCCACATCCACAGCACAGCACACAGAGCCAACAACTGTAAACAACGGTGTCGGAGCACAATGTGGACTGTATGCATGTTTATTCCACATGAATTAACACAGGCCTGTTCTTCACTGCAGCAGAGAAAATAAAGAAATTCTTTGTCACTTTGCAACAGCCTGTTTTAAAAACAGCGGTTTTAACTTAGGATGTTTGGAAATTAGATAGCAGTGGTGATGAGAGGATCTCCCACAGTTTTGTATTTCACTGTCATCCTTATTTCCTGGAAAGATGGAGGTTATCTAAATATACCACTCATGAGAAATGCAAAGGGCCGTAGACACAAGTAGATCCAGTCATAATTTTTGGTGATAGTGTCTTTAAAGCCTCTAACAGAAATATTTAATTCCCTGAAATATTTGCTTTTTTGCTCAAAAAAGAGATGGTCTCTTACTAATAGTTAAAACCTGCATCCAATATTTAGACAGATAGACTGAGGAAATCCCTTCCTAGCAAAATAAAATACCTTTAAAATGCTATGTTCAGTCTCATAGCTAAACTCCAGCTGAATGCATCACAATCAATGGAATATTTGCCTGATAGGTCTCACCAGCCACTAGCATGAGTAGACACAAAATTTGCAGTATAAATTATGAAATATAAGTGAAAAATAGTTCAGTTTATCAAAATACAGTGGTGATAGATGTGTTGTGTGATGATAGCCTATGCAAAAGTTATCCTGGAAAAATATATATGGTGCCTCTATCACCTAGGTACATGAAAGAGGATGTGAAACAAGATTAGGTATGAGGTAATGATGGACATGTGGGGAGTATCATATGGGAGCAGACCAGAAGGGCTTAATTTGTGTAACTTGGAAAGGGCAAGAGGAGCTGTGATCACTTTAAATTAGATGAGTAGGGCAAAGAAAAACCATGGAAAACTATTTTGGTTCAAATAAAAAGCCATAATGGAGAAAACTCAGCAAAAGGTAACCACAAATATTAAACAGAAGTAAAATAATAATTTTTAGCGTTCACAACAAAAAAAAATAAAAATTGAATGGGCAAATAAGAAATTTTAAAGCATTTATCAACTGGAACAAAGGACATAGTGGGACAATAAAACTCAATAGCTGTTCTTTGTTAAGAAAAACTTGAAGTAATTTTGTACTTTAAAAAAATAGTAGGTGCAGCAGTTCTTGAAAAACATTCGCAGTTGTTTTGTTTGTGTAACATTCATTGCTTATTGAAGAGCCTTTTGCTCAAGGGACCAATCTACTTAATGTTAATAGGTCTGCAATAGGAGAGCCTTTGGTTGTGTCACGGTTCACACCGAGTAACAACCCTGCCACTCTGAAATGCGTGGGAAAACTTCCACTGGCTGTGCTCGCACTATCCCTCCGCTGGGAATTAGGCAGTAGAGTATCCATCCCTGTCGGCTTTGCAGCCTCGGCTGCCTTGACAAAGTGCTCAGAGCAGGCAAACATGGAAGGGCTGAGGCTGCTGTGGCACAGCTTGGCAAAAAAAATCCATAGCAAACAATCTGTTCAGCTGGTTTTCTTCCTGTTTATCACAATTATCTGTGATCAGATGGTTATAATGAATTAATTCAGCCTTCAGAATTCCCTCATAAATGCTGTATAGTGAAAAATTCCAAGTCTGAAGCATCTGCTTTGACTTTGTCTTGACATTCATCCCAATGATTTGAGCCCCATCTCTGTGTCCTGATTAGGAAGACAGGAGGACTGGAAGTGGTGATGCAAGTTATAGCCTAAATGCAGAAGAGATAAATGTTGCAAGCATCATGGTCTCCATTTCCAGACTTTTGGGAGAGAAACTCCCATAGCAAATTGGAGCAGGCATTGCCAAAGCCTCCATGTAAAGCCCAGTTGTGCACAGTTTGAAAGGCAGTAGTAGTTACACTACAATCAACTGAAATTACCAGCTACACAACAAGCATATGCTGTAGTTATCTTTTGATACTACTGTCTTTCATGCTACTGTAAAAATTTACAGTGGCATTTAATTTAAATTAAAAAAAAAAATAATTTCATTAAATTAATTTGTATTACTGTTGCTTCTAGCAAATATTTCAAAATTATACTTAATTTACTTTAATTTTAGTATGATTTTATTATTTTTATATCAAGGGAGTTTTTAGGTTAAACTACCTTTCCATAACAAAGAAGAAAAAAACTTTAGCTTTCCATCCTCTAGTCATCTTCTAGAAATTAAATTAGTGTATTCTGAATAGACACTTTGGAAGTAAGTATTCAAAGCAAATGATTATTTTCAGGTGCCAGGGACCAAGATACTAATTACTTTTCTTTTGCTATCAAAGCTGTATCTAAAAATTGAGCAATGCATTAATAGACAGGTTTACCCCCACACCACATAACTAAAGGAATATCCAACATAACTTGTGAAAGATGATTTGCATGCAGGGAATCACCTTTCCCTGAGTTAGCACAGTGCTCAGAACAATTGGGCACCTGAGCGCTGCCATAGCAGATACGAGTACCAATGGTGCCATAAGTAGCCCATTAAAATGACACTTGATTTTTGTACATTATGTTCCTGATTTGTATAAAACTCGGAGATAAGAGACAAGCTGTAAGGAGAGCCTGACTCTCCACAGCTGTTAGGAAAGCTCTGGAAGAAGTGGGAAACCTTGCTCCAATGGTTGTTTGACATCTTATCTTAGCAGAATATTTTAACATGCAGGGTTTGGCAGGACCCTGGCTACAGCTGCTCAGCCCCATGTGCTCTCTGATGAATAATTGCCCAGTGCAATTGGGTATTGCCTGTATTCACACCAGCATACCAGACAATCCCAGACAACCCCATGCTCCTCAGCCAGTGCTTGGCAGGTGGAGGATACAGAGGCTGTGTGGCCTGGGAAGCCTCTGGATTGCAATTTATGTACATAGATGTACTTTAGTTCAGGGAACTGGTACTTATCTGTTGATTACAGCTCACAAACACACATTTTCTCAGCCATAATTAAGCTATGGATGCTTCCTGCTTGATTTAAACTTTGAAAAAAAGCAATTGGCCCCAAAGCTTAAGCCTATATTTTGCAGAAATGAAGCACCTTTCCTGTCAGAGTTCTTCAGAAGTTCTAATTGTATAATTTGCCCTGAGTTACACAGCATTTTTTTTCCCCCAGAAAGGAGGGGTAATTATTTGAACATCCAATAGAATTAGTTGATAGAAATATGTCTTGTGGCAATAAAGAAAAGCAAATAAAATCCTTCCTTGATTTAATGCGTCAGTTAAGAAATTGTAAAGCAATGAATGTATCAGGCTTTGGATCTAACAGGGTGTACTGGGGAAAAATGAGGCTGTTAGAGTCACAGCTTAGAACTGTTACATTTTTCTGAGACAGCAACAGAAGAAAAGAAAACTCAACTAAAAATAGAAGAAAGAGAATATCAATGTTGCATGCCTGATAATTAAGAAATCAATAACAATACTCAATGGTATGCCAAGCTCAGCTGCTTCTGACATTTCTAGGACCTGAGACTCCAAACTTCTATGTAAACCTGGGGTTTATTCATATCAGTATTATTGTTGTTGTCAGGGAGACAGTCGCTCATGTATTGTTGCCACACAGAGCATTTTAATCATCCCATCTGCAGACAGAATTTCTGTGTTTAAATTAGCAGACAAAGATTCATTTTCTCACTTACTTTGCATCTAGATAGTGTATCTTGACAAAAGTCCTGTCTAAGATCATGTGCAAAGAAGGGGAAAGTCATTTCAGAGAGAAAAGAGGCACCTATTATTAGTGTTCCCAAGATACACTGTTGTAAGATGAAAAAAATTGAGTTTTTTCATTCTTAATGCATTCTCTGCCAATGATCATTGTCTTTATTGTTAGCTTTTCATATTTGCTTGACTATTTTGTTACATTTTTTATTACAGCTATAACCACCCATTACAAAAAAACAAAAAAACAACAAAACAACAAACCCAAGACCCACAAAACAAACCAAACAAAAAACCTTCCACAGACAGGTAGGAAGATTTTTGAGTCTCTTGTTGAATTCAATAGAAATTGCCAAAGACTAGAATGTCACATAATTGTGGGAACACTGACTGTTGCTCATATGTTTTTAGTATTACTGAATAATTTATAATTTGAGGGAAAATGTGAAGTCTTTGTCACCTTTTATTTCTGTCTTCTCCATAAATTTAAATTTCTCAATGAGACAGTGTAGAACTGCCAGAAACATAATCAGAATTGTACCATAATTTCAACCCCCACAATTTAAAATTTATGGCTGTCAGTGCAGAATAATTGCTTCTCCAAAGACTATCACAACTCACCTGTAGGTTCAGCCTTTCACAGCCCCACCACTGACTCCCAAAGGCATGTGGGCTGGGATGACGCTTTGCAAAATTCAGAGCTAAAATAAACACACAGAACTACTCTGAAGTGGATGGATTCTCCCGTCGCTGTGTGCTGTGTCAGTGCTGAGGTAGCACCGGGTACCTCGAGCTGCGCAGAGCCAGCAGGTGCCATCGCAGCCAGGGCGGTGTGCGTGTGACAGAGCCAGGCTGGCCAGCGCGGGGCTGACACCCTGCACGGGCAGGACGAGGGGTGCTGGTGACAGCTGTGCTGCCGGAAGGTGGGGGAGAGGTGCTCTCTCGGTATTGATTGCCACAGCCCCAGAAGAGACGTGAATCCTTTTTGTAAAAGTAAATAAATAACTAATGGGCTCCTGGTGAGTGGAGCTGGGAAATTCAGAGTTTGTGCTGGGTTCTGCAGCTTGCTCTCCTAGTGGCCACTGGCAAGTCAGTCACATCCTGTCCCCCGCCTCTGTCTGTAAAAACCATCTATTACTTGTCTTGTGGGCACATTACAATGGTTCTTTAGCTAATACATGTGAAATGCTTTGAATGTAAAATGTGTTGGACAAGAGCCTGTCTCTTTCTCAAATCTGCTTTCTGAGGTGACTATAAGCATATTGGGAATGTTTCTTCAGAGCTATGCAGTTAGAACAAATAGCTAGTTTGTGTGCATTTATAATTCCGTGGTTTTTTTGTTTCCTTTCCTGCCCCGAGTTATTTGAGTAAGTTCTTCAGGAGGATGACAAAGAAGGGAGATTTGAGAGTCTCACAGGAAAAGCTTGTCATAAACCTTTCAGGAACTGGGCTAAACCTTGGTATCAATGTCAATATTTCTTTTAAACATTTTTTTGGAAAGAAGAAATTGCAAGGATAAATTATTTAATTTTTATTTCAGGGGTGACTCTGTAAAAAAAATTGTTTACTGCCTCAAAACTATAAATTGCATCATCTTAGGCTCAAATACAATGTTGCTCCGTAGACCATACCAAAGAGAGAGGCTTGGCTGATATATTAAACTGATCCTGGGTGCACAGTGGATCTTGTCCACTGAAGT